ACTAAATAGAAAACTGAACAACTTTGGAAATAAGGCGAGTCCAAACCAAATTAAAGGTTTCAAGAAAATTTCAAGAAATTGTAATTGTGAACATGTCGCACTGCAAAAAATTTGGAAGATACAGCAAAATAACAATACAAATCATTAGGTTTGTAGCATCCGACAGCCCTTCCGCATAGGGAAAATGACGTCGATGCTAAGATTTCAGCTTCGTTAGGCAATTAACAATCGATTTTATCGAGGGCCGTACAGCACCGATAAGCAATGTGCTATCTTGAATTCTTGACATCGCCGTTTGGGCTTAAATTAACTTATAGCTTAACGAATATTGGAGTTGAGATGTACTCAATTAAATAAGCATAATTAACGATTTACCTTTAAAACTTTAAAACCCGCCTGATTGAGCTGCGCCTTATCTCAAAAGAAGCGCTCTTAAAAAAATTGAATATTGACACCGGTCCCATATTTTTCCGATGGTCCAGTTTGTCTCTACTCGAAATGGACGTTTAGATAAATGGAAAACGCGCTATGAAACAAAATCTTTTGCCTTTTGCATTTTTACTGTTCGTAGATAAGTATTAAATATTGAGCTTTTCCGTAAATTTATTTTACATTCATACTGTTTCAATTTTACTACCGCTTCGTATTCATTGTATTTACAGGGATATATCTTTTTAAGGCTCATATCATGTATACCTGGTAAACTGATATGATATGATAAACCTGGGTATATCACATAATATATATCACATAATATATATGATTTGTGATTTAGACCCCTATTCTTGAACCGCCTATGGTTTTCAGCTGTTTACATTCGGATATTATTGCGCATTGCGCATGTACGGTGTTCTACTGTAATGATCATAGGCGCTTTCTTTCGGCTACTTCGCAATCATGATTTCAAGATCGCGATTCCGCACTGATTCGTAGGATCACGTTTTACGAAAGAACACGCGAATTTAAATCAAAGTATGGTTAAGTTTACATAGTACACTTTTGCATACGAATTACATATTTTTTGTTTGGATTATGAAAATAATTTAAATACAAGTGGAAGTAGTTGCACGATTATGCTCCTCTTCAGTTACAAATATTGACTAACCTAACATTTGAGCAAATATATCCTTGCATTTATAGGTTAGGAATTCGTGATCATAAAACTTTTATGTTCAGTTTGTTCACGACTTCGAAAGAACGTGATTTGACAATCCAAACGCGTTTGGATCATCGAAAGAAAGCGCCTCTTAAGCCTCCTACTATCTTGGCGGGCTAACGCCAATATCAAGTCACACCGAAATATTTGACCATATTCTGTAGTAGCGGGACGCCAAACTAACATGGCTGCCTATTTATATTCTCGCTTAAGTTTCCCGCGAGAATTTGTCACTCGGTGGCCACTCCGAGTGCACTAAGATCTTGATCGTCATGTAGGACACCTACGTTGTGTAGTTAACTTGGTTCTAAGCAGGAGCTGAAGGCGTTTTATGATTATGGGTAAGGAACACCAAAAGTAATAGCTGATTGAAATTATATTGAAACTAATATCAATTTGGATGGGGCCAAAGCCTGTTAAAGCCAAATGGCACGATCCCCTAGGACTCGCGAGAGAAGATCGTACCCTAGAAACTCTCCGTCGCAGTAAAAACGTACATGTCAAAGCCTACAGATATCACCTAATGTACTACAGCAGTTTTGGGGCCCTCCTGAAAGTAAAACTATTTAGCACAACCAGGGGTAAATACTAGGTACACGCTATGATTAACCAAAATGGAATCGAGCCATTCCACAGGTATTACAACACATACATCAGTCAAAACTAAGAGATATTAAATTTGCCTCGCCGGACGGTAGGATTACCCACGCCCAGTGGGGTGCCTGTAGACGTGTGCTAGAGTTGTTTGGTTTCGGAATGAGTGAACATGTTAGTGTTTGGTTCACCAAGGCCCGTATAAACTAGAATAACTCGATTCCCAATAAACAAAATAACAAAAAGACAAGAAAAAGACGCTGAACACATTCTCTACGTCGTATTTATTCATTTATTAACTTCCCCAAGCGACGCTGTCACTTGATCCCTTCACACCTCGAGAAACGGCCATTGCCTGCATTTCACGCATTTCTAGGAAAACTAAGAGTGCAGGTGTTGAAAATGGCAAACACATGTCGTCTTCCGAGAAATTCCATTCATCTCATCCGATCTCATCTTCGCTCTCTTTCTTTTTTCTATAATCCCACCAGATTTCGGTTGGCAGCTTTTTGTAACTAACATGATGTATAGGGTGCTTCGTATTACCAATCATATTCACAGGATGTTGCTAAGGTTGGGACATCTCACTTCTTACGGTGCAAAATGATTACAGATTCTCCTTACTGAAAGTAAATGGGAGGTTATATCTATGTATATGATCTAAGGTAGTCTCATACACAACCATCTATATTTACAAGCCGTTCTGAGAATTATGGCAACACTGCAGGTAGGGCCGATTTCCGAATTCAACTTAACAGATTTCAGGTGTAGGTATTCTGAATGTAAGAATCCTATTTACCTGTTTTAATTGCGACGATTTGCGCTACTTCGTATTGAATCAACAGAAATTATTAGTCAGGGAAGTTGCTAAACGAAATAAATCGATTTGTTGTCATAACCTCTAAACCAGGTTACTCATTACTGGACACAAGCATTTGTATTTATTCAAGTATATACACAAGCTCACTACGTGGTCGCCCGGTATCGCCGGACAAAAACCCAAGTAGTAGGTATTCTCGCACGGACATGTCAAGTCGATTTTCTGTAGGAACCTTCTGACTTATTCCCAGGAGTTCACGGTTCAGGAATTTGAAGTCTACGGGGCCCCCTCTTTAAAAGCTTCGTACCTACACCCACTGGAGTAGCGACCAGTTTACAGTCTGCCATTCCGAATCGCACCCGGAAGTCGGTTATAAAACCTCGCTGATGCACAGCGACTTTAACGCCCTTTTGCTGAAATTAAGTGCCCAAGCGTGTGCTTCATCCTCGACCTCTTTCGACAGAAGTTCACCAATTTAGAAGATCTCATGGAAAACACATTATGATGCAGTTACCAATTTACAGCGTTCCGAATTTTAAAGTCAAATAAAAATGTTATTACCTATCCATTTTTCTAAACGAATAAAATATATTATGTACAACTGTAAGCTGCCTAAGTATCTTTCTTCGGTATTAAAACCACCAAGCCGAAACACAGAAGAGAAAATGCAATTTTTCAAGAGCAACAAGATTAAAACTTTTATCGGCCCTCCGATTGACTTTCGGACAACGTTGCCAAACTTCTCAGCATGGCTTGTAAATTTTATAGGTATAGACGGCTGTGTCTCACATATCTCTTTTTTTTGGAACATCAGGCCACGTCAAAGTTCTGTCAGTAGGTATGTCAGTTTAATCACTACTTTTTTTTGTAATACTTGTGTTTCATTTTGTGTTGTATTTTTTTACATTTTTTACTGTTGGAATGCATTCGATTAAAAAAAATGGTAAAGCGGACGTCAACGACCATAGATGTAATCACATCAAGTTACAAGATAAATCCGTAATCCAGGTATTTGGCAAAAATCAAATAAGGAAACTAATTATACCTAGTCGCGAACCCATTAAGACACCCGGGATATGGCCAAGCACGGAATTCAAAAGGTTACAGAAAGCAGCCTATGTACTTACTCAGAAGGACAAACTTGCCATGATAGAGGAAGCGCAGCAAAGGAAACTTCAGATACAAACCGATTGCGAAAGGCGTAAAGAATCGTTAAAAAAATCGCAGCTAGAGCAAAGAGCGAAACCGGATTCGAAATTGGCTAAGGAAGAAGGAGCGGCTGCAGAAAAAAACCAGTACGTCCTGCAACGTGCGTATGAATTACGGCAAGAACAGGAGGACGAGGTGAAGAACGCGTCCAGTATGATTCTAGCCGCTAAGTGTTTGGCCGTCAGGCAACAGCAACTTGTCGAAAAAGATTTGATGAAGAGAGAGCTGGACGAAGAGGAACGTCGCCTTGATAGTATGATGGAGCAGGAACGCCAAAAGAAGCTGAAAGAGGAGGAAGAACGGAAACGATACCGCAGGGAACTGGGTCAACGGAACGCGCAAGCTATCTCCCAGCAAATCTCCGAAAACCAGGTGCAGAAATTACTGGAGGAGGAACGCAAAGAAGAAGAATGTCGGAACATAAATAAGGCCATGATCAGGATGCAGCAAGACGACGCAGAGAAGATACGGCAGACGCATTTGGCGCAAAAGAAAATACGAGAGGACCTGGCCGAATCGAACGCCAAGATCGAGCACTTCAAAATAGTTCAAAAAGAAGAGGAACGCATCGCGAATTTGCGTATAGAGGAGTTCACGCGCAAGAAAGCCGAAGCTCAGGCCGCCCGCGATGCGGAGCTGGCCGAAATTAAGGCGGCCAAAGAGCGCGAAATTGCTCGTCTGCGAGACGCCCAACTGAAGGCGCAACAGGCCCAGGCCGCGGACGATGAAGTTCAAGCTCTTCGCCGGCAGGAGGAGTACGAACGTCAATGGAGGGAGAAACAAAAGGCAGAGGCTCGGAGAAAGAAAGAGATGGATGACGCGCTTAAGAAGGCTCGTGCAATCCAAATGGAAGACCTCCGAAAGCTTCAAGCGATAGAGATTCAAAAAGAGGAAGAGGAGTTTCACAAAGTTGCGCGCGTGCAGCAGGAATTGTTCGAAAAGGACTTGCAACAGAAGAGGGAGAAGAAAGAGGCTGCGATTCGTCATCGCAAAGAACTTCTGATGCAAATTAACGAAAAGGAAAAAGAGAAGATACTGCAAATTAAGCAAAAGTTCCAAGAGGGAGATACCTTGAGAATGGAACAGGAGGTTCGAAATATCAACATACAAAACGTTATTAAACGGAAAGTTCAAAAGATGAGGGAAAATAATGTACCGGAAAATTTCGTTTCCGATATTGAGCGTCAATTGAAAGTCAAGTAGGACCGTTTATCTAGATTTATTAGTATTTGTCAATATTTGCACTGCAGGTAGATTTGCCCAACTGCATTATGTGACGATGATGTTCCTTTTTAGATGTTTGTTAGTAAATTTGTGTTATAGAAATTTTCTCAGTGAAAGCATTGCAGGATTAAATCTCGTAATAGTAAGGGATGAGTTCATAGTGTATTCGTCCGCGCGTAAATCGACACTTGCAACCTTGAACAGCATACATAATACAGCCATAAGGTACTGTCTTGGAGCTTTTCCTACCAGTCCGACGAACAGCTTATATTGTGAGTCGGGAGTACCGCCCTTGGACACTAGAAGAAAACAACTAATTGCAAGCTATATGACTAAAATTTCATCATTGCCATTACATCCTAATAGGGTGATACTCAACATAGACATGCAGTTGTACAGACTGAAACCTACCATTACCCGCCCTGCCTGTATCAGATTCCAGGAACATCTCGAGCAACGCCGAATAGTCCCTCCAGCGCCGCTCCATGAAATGATGCTGGACACTGTCCCGTGGAAGGTACCTGAAATAAAAATAAGAAAAGATCTAATGCGCTACAAAAAAGAGATTACAAAACAACCCACTTACCTGCAGGCATACGAGAACCTCCTTAACGAATATCCCTCATACCAACCTGTGTACACGGATGGGTCCAAGAACGCGTATGGGGTGGGAAGTGCTATAGTCACCGAGGGCGTAGCATACGAGTGGAGCTTGAATACAAACTCTTCGCCCATCTTTGCAGAGCAGTATGCCCTATGGCAGGCTGTGCTATACTGTTCAATGATGAAAAACAACCGATTTTTAGTTGTTACGGACTGTATGAATATCCTAAATGGGCTAAAGAAAATCTACAACACAGATCCGATGAACATCATGCTACAGTCTGCTATATACATCGTATTTCGGAGCAAGGTAAATCACTCGAATTTATTTGGGTCCCTAGCCACGTTGGTATCTTTGGCAACGAACAAGCAGACCAGGCCGCCCGTAGAGCGATATCGAACCAGCAGACAGATGTAAATTTCATGGTGGCAAGTGACATCAGAAGGCACCTAAAAGAGCAATATGTTGCAGAATGGCAAGAAAAATGGGCACAGGTAAATACTCACCTGTCGCAGATAAAACCTATTCCAACGACACTATACACGCTACAAGATGCTTCGAGAGAGGACAACGTGAAAATGCACCGTCTGAGGATAGGACACACTAAGGTCACACACGAACATCTGCTAAAGAATACTGTACCAAGACAATGTAATCACTGCAATACGGCCATCACGGTTACTCATATTATAAGCCATTGCCCACTATACAATAACGAGCGATTGATAAACGGTATACTGCCCAACTACATCGACAATTTTATAAACCCTGAAAATGCAATGAAGATGGTGA